AACAGTCTATTAAACTCCCTTTACACGCTTGCCGTCGATTTCAACTCGAGCTTTTTAGGAGTCGTTGTAAAACCAAAGCGTCAATGGATGTTCCTACTGCCTGTTTCTGTCCACTTGGCTTGGTTTCGAAAACAGCCGTAACAAGTTAGACTTTTAACCAATGCGCCCGACCGTTCATGTAGTTTTTTTGAACGTGTGAGCAAAACTTTGCCTAGTGGGTTTGCACTTATATTAGTGCGTTTTTTTTCTTACTGCGCACGGCTTTGAGGGTGTGTTGTGACAGGAGGTCCTGAGTCTTGCGATCGAGGCAGGACGGTGGCCAGGAGAGAGCGTAATATTCGTACAAGCCTGTCTCAGCTACAGATAATGTGACTTTGCGGTGATTATAGGACAAACCCATAACTACCCATCATTCTTAAAGTACCGATACTAATGAAACTAATGCAGGGTATCGCGGTACCTTTCAAGTATTGGTACACCGTGCAATACTAATTTGAAGTCTGGTGCTGTTTTGACCATTTGCATAGGAGTTACGACAACATCGTTTTTTTTGGCGAGGGATGCGTTTCAATGTAAACAGCCTATGGTGAGATCTCAGATTTGGCGTAGAGCTGTTGAGGCATGGACCGGTGATATACAAGTGAAGTTTGGGGGACGATTGGACCGTGTCCATTGGAGTTACAGCGACATCGTGTTTTATGACGAGGGATGCGTTGCCATAGTAACACCACATTACGTAACATCAGATTTGATGTTGAGCTCTTCAGGGCCAGTGTTAACCATCATGTGATGTTTTGTGGCGTTCTGAACATGTCAGTTGGAGTTATGACATCATCGTGTTCCATGACACAACCGTTTATATTTGAGCTAATGAAACACCTGTGCTTGGGCCCAGAGATCAAAGGTTTCCATGGTGATGTGCAGTAATCAGTGAGAGCCTTTCCATTCTTCTGAATGAGAGATAAACTTCTTACATGTGAACGTTTTGTTGAAGAACCGTAACAGATATCAGTGAAATTTCAACACGTGAAGCATCTCAAGGACCCTGAGCATCTGAAGTGTGCTTTTTGTGTACTTTCGGGTCAATAATGTGGCCTTTTTGGCAGATTAACTAAAGGTGTGCGGCTGCTGCTGAGGAAAAATCAGGTTGAATTTACAATGGGCCTTAAAGAGCAACTTCCAGGTTAAAGACACCTGTGAATAAATGTGTAGGAAAATGATGAATACGCTAGATTTTCAAAAAAATATACAGAAATATACACTACAGTGACATCTGGCGTCGTTTTTGTAAGAAATGTTCACTTCCGCATAAAAAAGCCTCGGCACGTGACCTCCCGCGTGTGACGTAACACGGGGGACACAAGGGGGAGAGCGGCCGGTGTAACGTATTAATAAACATGGATCCCAATGCTAGTTTCGACACAGAAGACACAGAAGAAGTTGAACATGAATATTCGAATGCATATGACGGACCACAACCTTATAATTATGAGCCTGCTAGGCGTCCAAGAGACCAGGAGCAGCCAAGGATTAGAAGAAATAACGGCCATCGGAGAGAAATTGAGCTGTGGTGTGAGGAGAACCAGTGGAGAACTGGGCAGCTATCTTGGTGAGTGACCGGCGTTAGCTACAGAATGTTAGCTAACGTCACATCACAACATTGTGAAGTTAGCTATCATATATCAGGCTATAACTAAAGTAGCATTGATAATATAGTAACGTTACTTGCAGGACTGTTGATACTGATCCATAATAGAAATGCGCAAGTATCAGCCGTATCTCGCGTTACCTAATGCAACTCCACACTACGGTGCTTTGTACCGGAAGAGAGACGCGAGATACGGCTGATACTTGACGATCTGGCGGAGAAAGGTTGTGGAGCCTCCGTTGATATGCCGTTGTAAATGGCTTGATGGAAAGCAGGTGTGTAGTCGGGGAGGGTGCACAGCTGATTGCAGCAGGTGAGTGGAGGTTGAGCCGGGAGCCAGGAGTGACAGCCACACGCACACACAAACAACACAGACAGGGGGAAACAAACAAACACAAAGGAGACGGCTGGAGCAGGACAGCCACCACAGCGTTACCCAATGTAACTCTACACTACGTCTTACGGTGCCGTGTACCGGAGGGGAGAGAGAGAGAGCAGCGAAGGGGGGGGACAGAGAAGTAATACGGTTTCCTGATAAAGCTGTGGAGAGTATGTGCTGCAGGGAAGTGGATGCACAACGCACCCAGGAACGAACGCTAGCTCCGGTCCTTTTTACTGTGGACTCGATGTCCTGACAGGCTGGTATTTGTGCAACCTGCACAAACACAATACTGCACCATGATTACAAATGGTGAAATACAATGTAAAACTACCGAAAAATACCAGCTCCTTAAAACACAACCGCTCTACTCAACGCAACTCTACTATACCCGCGGTCAGAGAGCGGAGATGTGTCCCCTGTGTGATGTAATATGACGCGTTTGACGTATGACCTTAAAAAAAAGCCGTTTTTAAGAGCAGAGCTCAAAATTGCTCCTTTCCCTCTGAATTCCTGCCCTTATGTCTCGTAAAACATAT